AACTATAAATTCCCGGAAAAATAACACCCAGATCTTAAGTTCACAGCGTAAGTATATCCGCTCTATTGAAAATCTTCCCTTTGTCTGTTGTATACTAATAGTGTCAATTTACAATTCTCCCTGCCAACTTAATAAATTTCAGTTTGGTAGCTATAAATCTATTTAGTTAAATTAAATAGAAAGTCTTTTATTGGTATAGACGTAGAGAAAACCTAGGGTTACTAAGCCGTGGTATATTAACAGTACTCCTGACATTGCTTGTGTTCATGACTGATGGTGAACATTCAGCATAAAGAGAACGTAAGTTTGTCAGCTTTGGAAGGCAATAAAAATGTATCTGTTTACAGTAAGTTCCTTGTAGCAAATTGAATATATTCATCGAACCAATAATCACAACAAATCTACAATAACAGTTTTCGTGTCCACAGACAAGTGCCCGAACTGAATAAGACACATCTTTTTGATTGACATGAATTATTTTAGTTATGAATTTAGTTACTATATTTTACGTGAGTATAAAAGCTCTTGCTCATTGCGTAATTTTAACGATCAAAGAGAAATGATGAGTTACTTCGGTTTTTCATAGACAGAAGAGATTACTTAAAGAAATATTGTCTAAGTTCAACTGAATTTGTATTAAATATTTTGAGAAATTACGCATAGAATGGTTATTTTTAGATGAACAGAACCAAAGTTAGTAAAATTTTCGGTTGTGAGCTCGCTAAGCGTAATGTTGTTAATTCAAGTTTACGAATTCATTCAAAGACAGTGGGTGGTCTTTGGAAATATTACAATGTTAATTTAGTTCACTACATGTTATGAGGAATGTAAAATGCTCATTTCTGTCGGGAGACTTCTCGGACTTCAAAGTTCCGGCAACTTTTACCACCAAGTGAACTTTTAAGTCGTCTACTTCTTTTTTTATGGCTTAGATGGGTGGACGAGATTGCAGCCCACCTGGTGTTAAGTATTTACCGAAGCCCATAGACATCCACGACGTAAATGCGCCACTCACCTTGAGATATCAGTTCTAAGGTCTCAGTATAGTTACAACGTCTGTCCCACCCTTCAAACCGAAACGCATTACTGCTTCACGGCAGAAATAGGCAGGGTGGTGGGACCTACCCGCGTGGACTCATAAGAGGTCCTACCACCAGTAATTAGGCAAATTATAATTTTGCGGGTTCGATTTTTATTACAGGATGTTATTCCTTCACCGTGGAAGTCAATCGTGAACATTTGTTGAATACGTATTTCATTAGAAAAGTTAGTACTTGCCTACGGGATTCGAGCATCGGTCCATCGCTCAACACGAATGTACCGGACGTATTTATCCTTTAGGCCACGACGACTTCAGTCTACCAATCTAAAGCTAAAAAATACGTCGAAATACTATTTATAGATTGCAAAAGTCATTCAACCCCTCGTTATATAAGCTCGTACTTGCGATAAATTACATTACTTCCAACTAAAATTCGTGGTATTGCTACATTACATAGCCATAAGAGGGTCTTAATTTGGAAACCTTTGAAACCATACCTTTGAAAATTACGGAGCTTTCATTATTGAAGTTTCAGAATCGACATTTATTTTATTTAAAGAACAGAGGAAATCTTTTTATAAATAGTTTTTCTAAATAAACAAAAGTTTTTTGTCCCAAAACATTCAAAATGAAAATTAGCGTTAATGATCCCTCTGTAAATTAAATTATTCAAAGTTTTAAAATTATTTAACAATGTTTATTTATGATCCTTCATTAATTAGTGCACACAAATAGGCCCTTTAAAAGTAAAATTTCGATTGATTAATTACTTGAAGGCAAACCTTTCGAAATATCACGATTATATAATTAGTTTCCAGTAAAATATCTACAATAGCAATAGCCGGAATGTCTTCGTTCGATCGTGCTCACTATGAAACTCAAAAAATAAATATAATAACATAACTGAATACTATCAAGTAATTTCCGCTCTGTCGATCTCTCCAACCCGATTACGTAGACGAGAAGATTACTGTTTTTTGTAACATAAATAAGTATAGATCATAAACTTAGGTCAGGCTATCGCCATTGTCCTAAAGAAACACAGACTTTGCTCGTAAATCCTAGGAAATAGAACGGAAATTGGAAAGCCTACATACTATCTTATAGTCGGGATTGTTTGTGAAGAGGGTTTTATGGATAAGAAAAACCCAAGCTGGATAAATAGAGTTGATACTACTCATTAGCCTCGATCTGTAGTCTGAGCTGTAGGTTGAATTAGTTCAAGCGTAAAAACAAAAATAAATCCAATTTTCTGAAAGCATAAAATGTTGGGACTTTAAAACGCAGCAATCACATTACATGCTTGTCCCTATTTCGAACTATAGAATATTTTGTACAAGCCTATAAATACGATTTCATTATTAGGACATAGTATATGTAATTAGACTACCTTTTTTTTTATTGCTTAGATGGTTGGACGAACTCACAGCCCACCTGGTGTTAAGCCGAAATGCTTTACCGCTGCACAGCAGAAATAGGCAGGATGGTGGTACCTACCCGTGCGGACTCACAAGACGTCCTACCTACAAGTAAAAACCTGTAGATTTGATTAAATAGGTACTAGTGTAACTAGAATGTTAATTTATTACCGCCCAACCAAAAAGCTCACCTAAGCTTCAAATCTTTGTAGAGCTTGTTATGACAAAATTGAATTGAGAGGATTAAAATACAAAATTGGTAAAAAAATAATGAATGAATTAAAAACAGTAATAAACAGTTTACAGTAAACGTATATTATGTGACATTGTTAATTCAATATTAACTGAATAAAATCACGAGTCGCCTAATTATCTAATGGTCAATATTAACAGCATATTTCAAACAAAAAATGAATCAAATCGACAAACAAACAACCACTCTTTACAAGCCTCCAAAAAAGGATTACTTGATAAATTTGTTCAAACAATTTTGTCCTACCATACATAATATGTTTATTGTTTTCATCGTTCTATCGTGATATTGTAATAATCGTAAATCACTAAACCTTTGTCGGGTATTAAAAATGTACATGGTAATAAAAAAACGGTACGTGCTTTATAGATTCGTTTTTACTCAAAATAATACCCTTGATTAAGTTTTTGACATCTGAAATGTTTTCATTTGAATCGCTTTATACAGTCAATATCGTCAACCCCAACTTCCCACTGCTGGGTTTGGGCCTGTCCTAACTTAGGCACTAAGCCCGGTCTTAGAGTCTCCTAGCCCATATCTTACCAGCCACCCATCGCAGATCATCGCTCAAGGCCGGAGACGTCTTATAGTACGTTCTCCACTCAAGAACCCGTCTACTTCAGCGATCATCGGTGCTGTATGTCCAACCAACGGCCACATCAGCTTTACGAATCTCTGAGGTATGTCAATGAATTTAGTCCTCTGTGGAATAACCTAACTTCTGATTTATTCTTCAGCCAAGCTTCGAGTATGGCTCTTCTCATAGTCCCTTAGACGACTTTGAGCTTTAGTATTTTAATGTAAATATCATAAATTCCAAGAGATCTAATCAGATGATGATATTAGCCACAGTTAATCAGCTATTAAATAATATTTAGCAGTGATAGGAAATGTTATGAACATCTCAGTGTTATACTGCTTATTTCTGTTACGGAGTCATGCGTTTTAATTTCAAGTAACTTTTTAATAGAAGCTTTGACCTGGAAATTTAAAGCAGGCCGCAACATGATCCAAAGCTTCTGATAAACTGATTAACACCAAATGAATTGTAAATCCGTCAATCAATCTACACTAATGAGGAAATTAGTGATCATCACAAATGCTCTAGACTTAATTACAATACAGTAGGTTTCATGAAACAAATAATTTTACTGGACATTATTTTACATGACATCAAAATCGAAGAGATCACGTCAGATCTCACTATTAAAATACGTAAACTTTATATTATTTCGTTAGGTAAATTTTTGTACAGTTATAGAATTACGTACATTCCAAGTAAAACTTGTAAATAGAACTAACATACAATCTATGAAAATACAATATATGTAGTTAGAATATAATTATTCCTAGGTCCTCCTCACTTCACGCGAATCCTTACGTTGAGCACTGCATTATTTTAATGTAAAAACATTCACTTGATTCAGATTCTATTATTAGTTATCTTTAAAATTCAGCTCTATCACAAATACCAGAAAGTCTGTTGTTGTAAAGATTAAATATGAGGAACGTCATTATTAATTACAAATGGCTATTTATTCACGTTGTCACTGTGAGCACTCGTGAGCATGCTTCGACTTATGCTTATACTACTATGCTAAAACCAATATAAACAAATAGCGTAATCCAGAAATTGTAGTTAGAAAATTCCTGAGAAATGTTTATCATAGATTCAATGCATAATTGTTGTACTTTATGTATAGAATTTAGAGTAAAAATATTCTTTTTTTTTCTCAGTTATAAAATATATCTTTAGCCCAATAAGTAATCTATGAAATGATCAGTAGAAATACTCAAATCAAAATTATTCTGAATTCGAGCAAAACCAATAAAGATATCAACTAGGTAAGATGTAAGAAATTATTTTAGGTAAAACAATGAGTCATTACGTAGAATATGATTGCTAGTTTCAACTCATTTTAGTGCCTAAAAATTTTTCAACATTTAAAATAAAATTAAAAATCTTTCATATTGATGACGTCGTGCACCAAAATAAATTCTATTGTATGCCTCATAAATTGAACACCCAAAACACTTTATACGGCCAATACCTTTAAATGAAGTGTAAGTCTAATTTTTAAAATGAAAACAACATATACAATAAAATGAAGTTAATCTCAACACGGTAGAAGTTTAAAATGTGAATTTTGAACATTATCTAAATTTAATATTTTTATTTTTTTAACCTTTAAATCATTATTATGTTTACTATAAATAATAATGTTGATCATATAAGATAGAATCTAACAATAAATATTACAATAAATTAAATAGTAATTTCACTTACCAATTTTATGTTTTGTGTTTTCTTTCCTTCATATTTCAATTCTTTCTGTTTAACTCGCTGTAAGTTTAGTTGAAACTGATTATTCAATTCGAGTTTTTAATTGTTTTTTGTTACTAGAGAACTTCTTAAAAAATAAAGAACTATTTTAAATTATAACTTAAACTTAACATTTGCAAAGTTAATAAATTTACGTTCGTAGCACTATTCCGTAGTAACGCCCGTCAGCGTAGCGTTCTTCGTAGCGTCCGACGACTAACTGCCGCTACGAAAGCTCTACGGAGTTCCAGTCTCGGAGTAGTAGCCAGCGTAAATTTTCAAAGGTTGAAAGAAAAAATGTAATTGATTTATACAAAGATCAAGCAAAAAAAACCTCGTAATGAAAATTTAAAGAAAAACAATTTTTGGAAGACACGAATTTATTTGCGCTTTGTACAAATTGAAATTCTGTAGGTATATTTTTTCATCGATTGTTCACAGCTAGGAATAGTTGTGAAAGAATTTCCTTTTGTTCGTTCAGTTTCGTGGCGATCTAGTAACAATACGCTGGAGATTAAAGTTTTCTTATTTATTTCGTTATTTAGGGTTCAGGATTATTAAAGTCGTGAAACAGTCTGGTTTGTTTTCGAGTTTTGTTTGCATTAGATTTATTGTTGTTCGCTACAATATGTTGTACTTTGATTCAAATTAGGCTATGGTATTAATTTATGGTGGTATTAATATTAAGTGTATGTTTAAGTGGTATTAATTTTGGATTAGCTCGAACAAAGATCGCTAGCTTAAGTTTTATTTACAGCAATTTTGTTTCTATATTTAACTTAAAGTTTATTTTTTAAAATTAATTTATTAAAATCACGTTATTCTTTTGAGTAAAATACCACATTACTGTGAGAACCGAGGGATTTTTTTTAATTTAAATTTAAAGAATCGTATTTTATAGATTCGATAGAGCGTTGCTGAATATACATAAGTTAAGACTGTGCAAGGGATTTTTATGACCATAAATCTTCGACGAACTAATAACCTATTATCTATATCAAATACTGCTTTATCAAGGATCTAGTTGTCGATGATTTATGACGTAGGGTCTCGCTTTTGTCGAGTCGAGCAATCGTTTTATTGTCCTACAATAAAAGGTTTAGAATTTGTCGACCTTCGACAGACATAAAACCGTGGTTTTATACTAACTCATGGATTTTATTTGTGATTTGTTTGAATATTACATGTACAGAAGGCGTTTTCTTTTTATCGTCATAGCTTTACTATGAAAAGTTCTTTGTCGACAAGAAGAGAACCAGTTATGTCGATTTTGATTTAAAATTTTACGGAGTTACGTCTTTATACAAATATTTTATGGGCATTACAAATCAATTTAACATTAAAATGCTTACCATTGGACTCAGTTATAAACTATAATATTAATTAGAAATACCATGCGTCTTACAGCGCTAAGTGCTACAGTACTAAGGTATATTGTAAACTATTTTTATTATTACGAACAATTAGTGTCAGTTTGGGGAAAGAGTCAACCCTTATTGTCTCAATTATAAAAGTGAACAAGCTCTCCATCATTGGCTATTAGTTAGGATTTTATAGGTACCATATTGATATTTTTAATTCAATATATGCTATATATGTACATCCTTATAAAAGGACAGAACAAAAAAGAATCGGAGCAGTATTTATTACTCTTGGCGATCTGTCAGTTGTAAGCTTGTTCCCAAGATCCTAATACATCTGAAAACACTGAAGAACTGATTAGAAAGCCCCGAAAAACATTAACTGAGAAGACAATCCTTTCGAGTCCTTTCGAATCCTTTGAGACCTTTTCAAAAAATTATTATCGACACGGAATATTATATTTATAATACTTAGTGGATTTCACGAAAACTTAAACGCGAAATGAAAGCCGGCGTAATCCTCGAAACTCCGTCTCATCTGAGTAATCAGTTTTGACGAGGAAAAGGCTTTAGAGCCTAACGCGAGACGTTAAAAAGATTTCTTAAATGTCATTGCGGATTAGAAAAATGAGCGACTTTGTAAGGCTTACTGGTATTTCAGCCTAGCTTCAATTTGATTTAACATCATCATATTATGAAACAAACGACCAGCTTTTTTATGTGCTACGCAAGTTTTTCGAATTTAAAGAATTTAAATTTACTGGTGGTAGGACCTCTTGTGAGTCCGCAAGGGTAGGTACCACCACCCCGCCTATTTCTGCCGTGAAGCAGTAATGCGTTTCGGTTTGAAGGATGGGGCAGCCGTTGTAACTATACTGAGACCTTAGAACTTATATCTCAAGGTGGTTGGCGTATTTACGTTCGTGATGTCTATGGGCTCCAGTAACCACTTAACATCAGGTGGGCTGTGAGCTCGTCCACCCATCTAAGCAATAAAAAAAAGGCAAGAGTTATGTAATAAAATTGAGACCATAACTTTATACCTCATTCATTGTTCGTGTAGTATTGAACGCGTAGCTCCACTAATTTCCTAACACACAATGGGCCGAACGCTTGCCTACCTTTTTAAGGTGAAGAAAATATCTATTAATAATAACGGAAGACGCATTCTCGACTCAAATATTCAGGAAATTACGAAATCAATGAGTAGTCTGACAATTGAGATCGGTGTGCTGAGAAGTAAATTTGTAAATTTATCAGCCCCGTTGAAGTATTGATAATTGTAACTAGACATGCTTTAACAAAAACTGACTTCAAATATAAAAAAAAAATTCCAAAACAAATTAATATAAACTAAAAACAATAATCATCAAAATCGGTTGTCGTGATATTGTGTTATTGAGTTATTCATCTATTTGTCGCACACGTACTTAATGCAAATTTAAGACTTATATGGTTTTCTCATTGATACCATTATCAGAACTGGATCAAATTGACCACACGGGAAGCGTCAGCTTTCTAATAAAAAAAGAATCATCAAAATCGATTCACCCAGTCAAAAGTTATGAGGTAACAGACATTAAAAAAATATTCAGTTGTATTGTAAGCCTCCTCCTTTTTTGAAGTCGGTTGTAATGATCTTGACTGAAGAATACGGTCATTTTCGGTCGGTATTTATGCGATTACTTATCATTTTCGCAGTAATTATATTAAAAGAATGTCGACAGATATATGTACATATAAAAATACTAGCCGTACTCGCCCGCTTCGCTGGGCATTTAAAATTAACATTATTATTTATTGTCATTGTTATTAGGGAGTCCTACACTCATACAAATATTAACCTATCCATTAAGTACATATATTTTCTACATGGATCCCAAGTTTCAAGTCAATCGGATGCATGGTTCAGTTGTTATAACGGAACATTTGTAAAAACCACTGTAGATTTATATGTTAGTATAGATGTTGTTGTTGATTATTTTCCCTTACACTACTACAGCAACTCCTATCTAAGTTCAACAGCGACGACCACACAAAGTGACTGAGCGATGATTCACCCGAGGGAAAGCTAATTTGTCTTGGATCGCGCGACAAACCAAACATAGGTTATCCGATATCACGTTATATTTGAAGCGTTGTAGGACTCTGTGTAACACTAAAACATTTAGAAAATGAAATGGAATTATGAGTCTAAAACACGCTTGGTTGAGAAATATTTTGCTAATATTGGACTGAAGTACAAACATTCATTCTCGCGTATGCTGTGTGCTATTGTGATATATTCTACAATCAAATAATGATGTTTGGTCAAAATAATGACAAATTTTATTTACGTTCGGTTTTGTATCACACGAAATCTCTCGAAATATTTTCGTTAACACACACAAAATATGCTATAGCTCGAATAGAAATGGAACGTGGTACCGAACAAAAATTCATCAATCACTTTCACGATTTTATCAAGCGTTTATTATTTTCGTTTTATTATTTATGATTTTTCGAATAAATTACAATTTTATGTAGTCACCAAAATTAGTTTTAATCATGTCTGTGACTTATGAAAATCGGAGAAAATACTAAAAATATCACCGCCTTCTAACCGAGTCTGGATGCGTGGTAGTTAACGATTACCTGGCTACTGGGACAATAGTCAAGGGTTCAGTTTTTTTATTTATTTCTTAGTTGGTTGCACGAGCTCACGACCGACCTGGGGTTAAGTGGCTACCGGAGCCCATAGACACCTACGATATAAATGCCGGCATCACCCCGAGACATGACTTCTTAGGTCTCAGCTTTTACAGTACAACGGCTGCCTCGCTCTTCCAACCGAAACGCGTTACTGCTTCACGGCAGAAGAGGCAAGGTGGTGGTACCTACCCGTGTGGACTCACAAGATGTCCTGCCAACAGTAAGTTATTCCCGAGTCGCGAAAATATTCGTGTGACGAACAGGTTTATTAGGGAATATACTTATAGTTAAGGTATATGTAGGCATAAGATATAAGGTAAACAGAATATATAGAAATGCTGACACATAAGAGTCAGGAGAAAAAATGAATTAATTCTAAATTATTCCATCGAAATCCATAGATTATTAACTAAATAATTATAATTTTTTTACGGATTGATTACGTGCATCAACAAAAAAAGCTACAATTATATTTCTATTCCTTTTGAAAGTTCTTTGTTTTCAAAATAGATTTTTTTTATTTATTACAATTTTAATTTTGAGTCTTTCCCAAGTGTCTGCTGCAAAGACTAGCAAATAGCAGTCCCTCGATCTGGCTTGATGTGATGTTCAGAAGATTGTTGCCACTGGCATGCACTCAATGCAGTAACAACGCAGTTTTCTTTCGCATTATTGCAAAGAGGTCATCTGTGTGAGCAAGTCGCAAACATATGTGAATGCACTACAAAAGCGCGGCAGTGACAACATTACTCTAAGCTCATTATTAAATTGACCACGTAGGCTATTGTAAACCCTTCGCGTATATTATTGCAAATTAATTTCAACATTACAAAAACAAACGAATTTACAAACATTTCATTGATAGACACCTACTATTTATGCTAACGCTGGGAATATTTTTTCATAGTTCTGCAAACAAAAAAGCATCGCGAACAATACACATTTATTTCCATCTCGCTTGGGAAATTAGGAGCCGGCCTAATTCGGTTGTCGCCATTACAATCGTGACCGCAAGTAACCTAGGCGTAGTCCATGACTTTTTATTGGATTCTAAGGACAGATAAGCTCAGGAGACGGTGTTGTTATGTGGCTATCGGATTCAATGGGGACCGCACAAAGCATGGCGCTAATGGATGATTCATACAGG